CATTTGAAGGCAGTTAATGTGCGCGTTTGCAATACCTGTGAAGAAATAGCAGACCATTCGAAGCAGTTGGCCATCTGCTAAGGGTAGGCTACTGTTCCTGTTCCCTGGGAAGTGCTGTACCTCAAAAATGTAAGGACTAGTGACAACATAAATGTGTCTGTTGCCCAATTTAAAAATACTACATGTGGGAAAATTGCCATAAATATTAAGGTTGTAGGGGTTTTCTTTAAGTTCTCCCTTTTCTGAGAACCACTGAAGATCCTGTCAGAGAAGGTGGCTGGGTTCTGTTAGAACTGTGTTGTGCCAGAGCTTCATAACTGGAGGCATTTTGTAAATGGTGAGAGTGACATTGCAAATATGAATGTAATAGGTGAGAGAACCAGCCCTGGGAGACAGGATGCCCCCTCATCCCCCGGGGCAGATGAACGAGTAGAAGGCTGAGAGACCAGATGCCTATCCTGCTGTTGGTGGAGAGGCAGTGTTGCCATTCATCCTTCACTTGCAGAAGAGCACCCTGCCCCCTGAGGTAGTACTTGGCACATACACAGCACGAAAGTGCTCCATCTTCAGAGCTCTGAAGCGACTCCATCACGCCCTCTCCTGTACACAGACCATGCGAGCCCCCCTCCCAGTGTGAGAGCCTGTGGCTCCAAACCTTTTGACCTTCTGCAGCAGGCATACAGAGTGTGGTATAACATGCCTGGGACAATGATTTTAAGATAAGAAACTGTTGTCTAACACAGTTCCCCAGTGAAAAATAGATGGAATCTTAATCACCAATTGCATGTTTAAAATTCCTGCCCAAGTCCTTTAATGTCTCAGTTTTTAGTTACGTGGTTCAGAGGGAAGTCACAGGGGGCACCACCCCAGAGTGCCCCTGACAGCAGTTTGACAGCTCCTCAGGTGTTCAGGGCACAGTCCAGGTTTCTGTGTACCTCTGGCCGCACCCTTCGAAAAGTTCCATTTTATTGTCTGTTTTATTTCAGCATCCCCATTGTCATCACTTGGTGGCTCCTGCTGAGGGATCCGGCCATGTGGCTGACCGCTGGCCCTCAGAGCAGATCTCCTTGTATGCTGAAGCTGATGGGCAACTGTCCTCTTTAGCTGTAAAGCCACGTCCGATCAATCAACCATGGCAGCAGTTATAACCTAAAATTACCCCTCCACAACCTCTAGAGAGCCTCATCTTTTCTTTTCAGAAAAGAAAAGTAGAAAGTAAAGGGAAAAAAGGTAGGAAAAAAAATAGAAAGAATTTACCCATGCAAATTCTTTAAATGCTCCAAGTCATTACCTTCATAGATAAAAGGGAATATTAATGAAAACGAACATTTATTGAATGCTTGTTCTGTGCCAGGTTCTGTGCTAAGCACTTTCCAAGGGTTGAGTAATGATTTCTCTGGAAAACCCGTTGAGGCAGGTATCAAGTCACTTAGCTAGGTGAGTGGCAGCGCTAGGTTTCATCCTGGGCAGCCTGACTGCAAAGTCCATGCTCTGACCACCACGGCCTGCTGTTCTAGCAATACCCACCTCGGAGGAGTTGCTGTGGGATTGAATGAGGTAACGTGTAGAAAGTACTTTTAGCCGACCTGGCACACACATCCTTTCAATGCTGAGATCTGCTACTAATCAAGACTTCAGGAAGGGGAGGAGCTAAGGGAGCATGAAAGGGAGCGGCTCTGGCTGGGAGGGCATCATTGGCTGGAGGAAGTCTAGGCTGTGCTCAAATGTAAGGATGGAAGCGTGCAGCAGGTGCCCTTGTGAGCCACCATGATGCCAAAGCACAGGCTTGTGTGCATATGACCCATTCCAAACTCTGCCTTCAACCCTTCAGAACATCAGAGGCTTTGCCTTCCATTTTCAGAAATGGAGTCGGAGATCCCAAGCCCCTGCCCTTTGGCCTCACCAACACTTAATTTGGATTTTCTTTTGCTTCTGGCTTAAACCTTTGTAATTATTTGTTCTTGTTTAATATACCTATGCCAATCTGTTCCTTTAGAAATAGACAGATGATAAAAATGTTCTCATGTGGGTTGGATTGGAGTTGGGGGTTGCAACAGTGCCATTTGTGTGTTTAGGTGGAGGTAACCCCAGCCTTCGGTCTACCTGCCATGCACAAAACACTGACATGTCTTAGGATCTTGGCAATTTTCTTCTCTAGCCATGTTTCATTGTTCAGCTATATGCTTTGGCACCTCTTCCTCGGGTTTGTTTAGCCAGACTTGAAGAATGTGGTGAATGGGAACAAGTACTCACTTTGAAAGTTGAGTCATGGGGATTCTGTTGTGACCATCAGAATAAAACAGAAGGGCTGGTCTGTATTCTTGGATGGCCTTGAGCATCAGTTTCCTCTGCGTGTGTCTGTTGGGGATTGGGCACAAAGTGGCGGTGACTGGCTGCTCCAGGTCTGTGGTTGCAAGTGTTGGTAATAGCGGCACCCCAGGACTGCTGTGGGATTATGTATGAGCTGTTTGACTTAGTGTCTCATTGCCATTTCCTTATATTTCAAGATTCTGATATTTCACTGGATTCTGACCTCTCTGGAAGTCTGTTTTGAATACGAGGTATTTTTACATTCGATCCTTTGTTTTGAGATCTCAGCCAGAAACACAATAAATTCATTTTTTTCCTCAATATAAAAAAATTCACAAGACGAGGTGGATCTCTGACTGCCTTTCTTCTGGAAATGATGACAAAGTAGAAATGACAAATATAGAAATGACAAAGCCAAGGCCCAGAGGTGTGAGTTACCAGGGATCAGAGGCTGTGAGAGCCTCTGATGATGAAATTTGAACAGACATGCATTGATGCATTTACACATTTTAGCACATGCTTAAAGTAAACAAAAATAAGCTGTATTCCCTACCTTAAAAGAGAACCTCACACACTGTTTTTACTGTTGTGGTTACTTTCAGCATTGCCAGCTTCATGTGGTGACCAAGTCACATGGCTGGTGTGCAGCCAAGCTAAGATCCCTTGCTTTGGGGCATGTTGGGGTTTCTTGCTGTGGTTGACAGTGGCTTTCAAGTCTGTGCACGCTATTGCCTGTATAAAGATGAAACTTCTCAGTCACCCTTGACATGACCTCCATCCAACAACAAGGGGGTTGTTAACGATGATTGTGTGTGTCCTTTCCCCTCCCTCTCCCCACCCACTGACAGGACCACCCACACTTAGAACACCCAATGCTTACAGGGCAGCCCTTGAGATTAAACCAAATAGCTGTTGGCAGTTTACCTCTAAAGACAGAGTGACGTGTGGAGGCAAGAAACTGTCCTGCTCCTCTGGGCTTTTAATCAGAGAGGCATTTGTGCCTTTTGGTAGGAAAATAGTCTTGGGGAAGGTGCCCCAGCCCAGCCAGCAAGCTGGTATTGTATTCTGTGCCATCACTGTGCTAGTCACAGGGGACCCAAGGACAAAGAAAACACAGTCCCCTTCCTAGGTTCTTCCTAAACAGTGCTCTAATAAATCACCACCATGTCTCTTCTCTTTGAAGCCAAGGGTAGGAGTTTATAAGGTCAAAGGAAATGAATGGCAGCCAGGCAGATATAAAGGGCAGTTGTGGATAGAGCTCTGCAGTCTTTTCTGATGTTTTCTTGGTTTGCCTGTGGTTGAAATAATAAAAGAGTGATACTGCTCCATATTGGTAGAATAGCCAGAGCCTGTGAGGAAGCAAATCTGGTGTCCTAACAGTTATGCCTTAAATGGTACACCAAAAATTGTTTAGGAATTTCTCAGTTTTGCACCCTATGACAAATACAAGAGTTTTTTTACTTTACAAAATAAGGGGTAACTTTATTCTCTATACTTATGGAATCTAAAGCACAATTGGACCTTAGAGATTGCCCAGCATAACCTGTCATTTTACAAAGAAGGAAATGGGACCAAGGGTAAGGGAGTTAAGTGATTTTCTCCAAACACATGGCCGGTTGGGACAAAACTGGGTACACGTGTTGCTCTAGCAAATCTTTACCCCAGGTTCACCCCAAAGGTCACTGAAATTACTTATAAAAATATTCAGAGGAATATACTGATGATGGGCCCATAATTGGCTTTTGAAGAAATGAGGCACATTTTAGGGTAGAGTCTTTGGAAGGTGACTTCAAGGAGAACAATGAGACCTGTCAAGCACATGGGCTCAGTGGCCTTCAGACTGATTCCTGGAGCCCCAGGGTCCATCACAAATGGACTCTTCCCAACCCCCTACAGAACAGCTCTGCTTTCATTTATGTTACAGGATGTCCTTCTGAGATTTCTTTTGAAATGAATTAATCTGAATACGATTATTCTATAAACAATTCAGCAATGCTACTAAGAATACAATTTTATCATCATCAGAAATAATAGCATTTGATTTTTTTGTTTGTATGTTTTTACTTTTAACTCTTATGGCCCAAAAGTATACTTCCCCACTGCCTCCACCATGGCAAATCTGAGACGCCAAGGAACAGTGGGAAGTTGCCTTCAGAGAAGCCTTTCCAGAAAATTCTTTACTGCAGTTTTCCTCATCCAGCAGGATCTTCAGGCAGATGTCTTCTCCAGAACTTTGGCCGGTGGAAGACCTAAGCAACTGCTGCTCACAGCTCTTGTTTGTTGTGCTCTTGCTTTTGGAAGAGTTCTACTTGGTCTCTCATTGTTTACCTTAAATAATAACGGAGACATAGCATAACACCTGTCACATGGTTAACACTGAACAAATACGGTGGAATTAAAACTTTACAAGCAAAAGTATCTGTTTGATTCTGTTTGTTTAAAACCTCATATTCTTGAAGCAACCCATCTTACCTATTAAGGACTGTTACAAGGGTTAATTTTCATGATGGGGCAATTTGTTATGTCCTAAGTACACCAGAAGAAAAGACTTAAAAGGAAAGGGTTTGTTTTTTTTTTTTTTAATTAATCAGGAAATAGACTTATGGTTAAATCATTGCTTTAAAAGATATTTTGATGCTGAATTATTCTGAATTTGCTAAGTAGCTATACATCTTTGTTCCTTTTTTCAGAATGCTTGAAGATGATCTTAAGCTAAGTAGTGATGAAGAGGAGAGTGAACAGGTAAGATTTTCTTTTATGTTACTATCCTTTGATTGTGACACAGCATTGCTCACAAGGTGGGCTGCCCTAGGTATTAACTGAGTCATATACACTCGAAATTGTGGTGCTCGAGGATACTGGATGCCTTCTGATAATTATGAGCTTCCATGCCATTGGGCCAGTCCATTCAAGTATCTTAGCCTTAATTTCCCTTAAAACTGTGATACTGTGGGGCACCTGGGTGGCTTAGTCGGTTAAGCATCCGACTTTCGCTTAGGTCATGATCTCGCAGTTCGTGGGTTTGAGCCCCACGTCGGGCTCTGTGCTGACTGCCAGCTCAGAGCCTGGAGCCTGTTTCAGTCTGTGACTCCCTCTCTCTTTGACCTTCCCCTGCTCATGCTGTCTCTCTCTCTCTCCTAGAAATAAATAAAACATTAAAAAAAAAACTGTGATACTATGATTTTTATGTCATTGAAACCAACAATGGGTACTTACAAGAAAGGTAACTAGCATTAGACTTCAGTATAAAATAGGCCCTTTTGTCGTTTTCTTTTTAATTTTTTTTTGGCAAAGCTCTCTGGTCTTCTAGAGATCAAGCATGTGACCTAACCTCATCAGCATGCAATAGGCAAGCTGTAACATTAAATATTGAGAAATCTTATACAGATATTATTAACATTGAAAAGAAGCAAATGTGGAGGTGAACATCAATGATGAATAAAAAATAATCATGCTCTGAATAGGCTGTTTGTCTTAGATGATAAATGTGCTTAAAATGTTCTCCCCTGGTGTTGATTTACCAGCTCGAGACATCAGGCAGAGGTTTATAAATACTCTTCTGATCAGTGAGTTAAGGTGGAAAAATATCCATGTAAAATTCATCACTTTCACTCCAGCATTTCAGGAAATGTTTGTATTTTTTTAAAGCAAGTTTGAAAACACAAAAGATAGATTTTCCTACACTTCTGTTTCCTTTTTCTTATTATCCCTGTGGTATTTTGTCAAATTTGGACAAACGTGGTAGGTATAAAGACAATCCAGAGTTTTTTTTCCTAAGGTTATTTTTCATGTGATATAAGACAGGTGCAAATGATGGTGAATTTTATACAAAAGTGTCATGGAGTGCTATACAGCTGATTCAGCTGTCTAGCCATGCAAATAGAAATAATGTACAAAGAGAGTGTGCAGAAGTGAAATAAAAGTCAAAAGAACATTTCCAGGAAGAGCATCTAAGTGGAATGTGGCTGTGAGGTCATGGAGTTTATTCACCTTGAAGAAGAAAGTGAGGCACCAAAGAGGGCCCTGGGTGTGAAGTAGAACTTGAAATGAAACTGGAGTGGCAAGTGGAAAAAAACCCAAGTGAAGGAAGGTTAATTGAGCAAGGAGAGCTACTAGGCTTTTGGGTTTTGTACAGACTGACTACTTTGTTTCTAGGTGTGCATACTAGGACAGTCGATATTCGTAACATGGCAATCGTGGCAAAACTGAGAATGACTTCACTCCTAATTTTGGTTCCTTATCTATGTGACTGTTAGCTAATGATTTCATCTCATCATGTTTTTACCCAGGGAGAGTTTCAGATAGGTACATTGTAGATTAAGTTATATCAGATGTGTAGACTGTGTATACTTTGTATCAGAAAGGGATTCACAGAGTATTGCATTCAGCAAGCTTTCTTAATTTGGAAAGAATTTCCAGAGTTATTTCCAGGAAATTTTTCCACTGGAAACTTAGTTTTTAAAAAATTATTTATCAAGGATATACGGAACACACTTTGTAAGGCCCTAAGAAGTTTTAGTTGAATCATTTTGCTTTATCAGCTACTCCTTCCTAATCTGTAGCCATTGTATTGTGACTATATAGGTTAAATCCTTTATTCTTACATTTGGTGCCTGTGTATATACACCTTTCCATCATTTGCAGTGAAAGCAGCTGACAAAATGAACAATTTTTGTACAGTAGTATAATTAAGACTCCAGACAGTGGTTTTGTATGTGGTAGTTTAAGTGATTGCTCTAACATTAATTATATTAAGTTATCTTGCTTTGGCCTATAATTATAGCCTGCCCTAATACAAAATCATAATTTCCATGCTTTTAAAAAATACGGTATTTTTTTCCTCCAAGACCAAAATATGATTGTGCCCCTAAAGAGTAGAGCCTGTTCACACATGCAACATGCATACACACACTGCATTTCTCTGGCATTGGGAAATAATTAAACATTTAACATAAATGCTCTTGCGAGATATAATCAGAGTTTGTCCCTTAACCCAAAATCTTTCCAAAATGTATGGTACATTTCCCCAGCTCAATAAAAGGTATATACTAACTTCCTTAGCCTTCTCTTACATGACATCTGGCTGTCCTTGTGAATATTGGTCACTTGCTGTGACAATGAGTAACCCACAAGAGCTTCAAGTTGCTATGCCTGTTTGCCCTTCCTGAAGTTGCTTCAGACTCACATGCATTTGAGTACTCTATCTAATGCTTCTTTATCTTCATTGCCTCTGTGTTCTCAAAGATAAAGACACAGGCTAGTTTAGTGAGTCAGCCCAGACTGAGCAGCCCTGCTCCCTGGGTTCAAATCCCTGCTAGTGACTCAGTAGCTTTGCAGCCTCAGCCCAGTTCCTGAACTGTTCTCTGCTCCAGGGTCACCATTTGTAAAGCGGGAATTAGTGTTAGATCCCCAAAGCCTGTCACTTCCTCAGAACTTGTGCTCTACCTGTTATCTTCACATCACCAGATCCACTAGGCTTTTGGTGTTTTGCATTTTAGTTAACTTATAATTGAATATACCATACATAGAGAAAAGTACACATAACCTAATACAATGTGATGAATATTCATAAACTACACAATAAGCATTCCTCTGTTTTTCTAATAGCATAGGGTAATTTTGCTTGGTTTTGAAATTTATATCAACAGAATCATAACACTATGTACTATGTTGTTTCTGGCTTCTTTCACTCAGCCTTATGTTTGTGAGACTCATCCATGTTGCATGTAACTGAAATTTGTTCATCTTCATTGCTCATATTTCATCATGTGCACATAGCCTAATTTACTCACCCATTCTACCTCTGATGGGTATGAAGATATTTGAGGCTATTAAAATAGTACTGTTATTAACATTCTTGTGCAGGTCTTTTGGTGAGCATATGGGAACATTTCTGTTAGGTCTATTCCCAAGAGTAGACATGCAGGGCTGTTCAGTATGTGCATGCACAAGATGAATATATCATCCTGAACCATTTTCCAAAGTGGTTTCACCAGTTAGCATTCCCATGAGGAGTATAAGAGAATTGCAGTTGCTCCACATCCTCACCACGTTTCTCTTTAGGGTCATGAGCAATATTCTGAAGTTGTCTTTTTTAGTATTGTCTTTGTTTTTGAAATAAGGACAGTACTGGCTTATAAAATGAATTGAGAAGTGTTCCCGGCACTTGTTTTTTTTTTCCTAAAGAGATATAAAATGACTGTTAATTTTTCTTTAAATGTTTGTCAGATTTCTCCAGTGAAATTGCGTGGGCCTGGAGACTTTTAACACTTACAAATTCTGTCTTCTGAATAGTTAAAGGACTGTTTTGACTACTTCACATTGAGTAGGTTATGGCAGTATGTGCTCTTTAAGTAATTGGTTTATCATGTCATTTAAGTTGTCACATTTACATGTAGAAAGTTCTTTTCTTTTATTGTCCATTTAATGTCTGGGTCTATAGTGATATCTCATTTTATCCTTGATACTTATTTTTGTCTTTATCAGTCTTGGTAGAAGTTTTTCAATGTCACTGATCTTTTCAAAAATCAAGTTTTTCATTTTATTGATATTTGCTATCGACTTTACTGTTTTTTTATTTCATTGATTTCTTATCTTTGTAATATCCCTCCTTCTGTTGTTTTGAGTTCATTGTGCTCTTCTCTTTCTTATTTCTTGAGGGAGCTTAGAGTACTGATTTGAGACTTCTTCTCTTTTATAATATGAGAATTTAGTGCTATACATTTCCCTTTCAGCACATTGTTGCTGCATCCCATAGATTTTGATATGTTGTATTTTCAATGTGGCTTCTTTCACTCAGCATTATGTTTGTGAGACTCAACCATGCTGCATTAATTGAACACTTCAGTGAGACTTCCCCTTTGATGCATGGATTATTTAGAAGTGGATTGTTTCATTTTCAAATGTTTGAAGATTTCTTGTAGTCTTACTGATTTCTAGTTTGGTTCCACTGTGGTCAAAGAGGACATTTGATATGATTTCAGTTCTTATAAATTTACTGAGTATTTTCTATGGCCCAAGATATGGTCTACATTGGTATATGTTTTATGGGCACTTGAAAGAATGCGTATTCTGCTGCAGTTGGAACATTATAGGATGTTCTATAAATGTCAATTAAATCCTGTTAGTTGATGCTGTTGTGGAGTTCTTCTAGATCCTTGCTGATTTTCTCTCTAGTTGCTTTATCAGTTGTTGAGAGAGGAGTGTTGACATCCCCAGCTATAATTGTGGGTTTGTCTATTGTCCCTTTCCATTCTATCAATTTTTGCTTCACGTATTTTACAGCTATGTTATTTGGTTCATAACATTTAGGATTGCCATGTCTTCTTGGTAGATTGACCTTTTATCCTTAGGTAATGTTCCATTCCATCTCTGGTTATTATCTTTGCTCTGAAGTGTACTTTGTCTGATACTGATATTACCACTGTTGCATCCTTTGGATTAATGTTTGCAGAATGTAAGTTTTTCCATTCTCTTACTTTCAACCCACCTATGTTGTTGTATTTGAAGTGAGTTTCTTACAAGCAGCATATTATTGTCATATCTTTTCTCCCTTTTGCCAATCTCTGTCTTTTAATTGATATATTTAGAACATTTGTATTCAATGTAATTACTGACATATTAGGGCTTAAGTCTGTCACTTTATTTTTCCTTTTCTGCCACTTTCCTTTTCTTCCTGTTTTCATTTATCTGTTTTCTTTTTCCTGACTTCCTATAGGTTTCTTGAATATTCTCCAGAATTC